CAAGTTTGGAGCCATGGCTGCTTCCCCCTACACTGAAACCTGCCCCTGAGTATTGGGGGATCATTTTATATTCCAAGTTGTCTTGGATTTGTGTAAATACGGTAATCTTGGTCTATCAGCTTTAAATATTAAATATGAGAACTAAAATGTGCATTGGAAAGAAACACCTAAGTCAAATGGCTGCTGGCTGTCCACTGCCCAGAAAAGATGGGGACACACTGTCATCCTGATCTGACATCAGCTCTAAATACTAGCTACTTTATTATTTGTTGTTTTGGGGAGGACCGCTAAGCAAAGTCTGAAACGGTCAGTGTGGAATGGCTCTGTAACTGTGCAAGAATATTGTGTTCTTACTCTTTTTCTGTGAAGAATATCCAGGGCCACTGAATTCATAGCAAAACTCCCACTGACTTGTGTAGCATCAAGCTTTCACTTTTGTCTCTGAAAAATCTTTGCTTATATTTTTAAAAGTTATTTCTAGCACTACAGTGTTGGAAGTGCAGTTGGATTAGAAAGGCATCAGGATTCTTCTACTCCATCAATTTATTGGCAACCTTTTAAACGAAATTTGAATTGGCGAATGCTTATTGGTGATGGTTCTGTAGAAATGAAGAGGTCCCAGGGTTAGTTTACATTGCAGTGCTCAAAACAACTGGAGCTGTAAATGGAATAAATGGAGCTGTTCTGAACGTTTAAACAATATCATCAGTTTCTATTTTATTTGACTCTCCTTTCTGATTATTTGACTCTCCTTTCTGATTACAACTGCATTTGAAACAGAAGTTATAACGCAGTCTTTTTGTACTGGTAATTCATTAAACATAACCAGGACTCATTCAATCTTAATACTCCACACAAAGCTGATCACACAGACACGACACACACCAGGCAGATCCCAACTCCGTGCACACACAAAACACACAAAAATCACAGAGCCAGCTCCAGAATTTGGGCCTTTTGTGCATCTCAGTCACACCACTTTCAACGGCCAATCCTCAGAGGTAAAGGTCCTGTCATTTACTATATCCCTTTCTCACAAGAAACATTCATCTGTCAATCACACTCTGCCACTCACCTTTCCCTTGGCACAGACACACAACTTCTCTGCCACAAACACTTTCACCACTGTGCATGCCTAGGCTGGAAACTAGGCTAGCAGGTCAGAAGATTACTTTTGTGGGAAGCTTTATATGACAGCGCTTCCTGCACATACTCAGTATGGTGAACTGTAACAATTTACACCCTATATTCAAACTCTTTCTCGCTACACTCCCAGATACTCTGGTGCTGCCCAACATAAAAAAGCTTGAAATGATCTAGCTTCTCTTATAAACACTTCTCTCTTATCCAAGTGTGCTCAAAAGATGTCATTTCAAAGGCTCCCACCCTATCCCCCTTTTGAAATATTGTGAGCTTGTGTTGGGAGTCTACTTGCTGCTTAGACAAGGTCCAGCTGACTCTGATAGCTTGGATGGGACTGGCTGCAGGTTACCATAGCTTCTTCTTTGTCTAGTTTCATAGTTTCATAGTTGGAAGAGTCCGAATGGACCTATGCAGATCATCTAGCTCTAGTGCTCCTTGTCTGTCCCATGATTTGTTTTCTATACCTCTACCTTTGCCCAGCCTTGACCTTTGGTCTCTTCCCTTCCAGTTTGTGATCACTGTGGATATTTGTACATGCCATGGTGTTTGATCCTTGTTAATTTTCTGCGCCCTAAAAATTTTAATCTGAGTTATTGTGGTGCATCACGTTTGTGTTTGCACACCACATGTTTTCAAGTGAGTTAAGTCCCATGTGTCATTCCCTGCAGATTCCAGCAGGGAGAGGCAAATACCAATCTACCCTCAGTAATGTCTTTCCTAATGAATTACAGCAGAAGGGGCGTGTAAACTGGGCTCCATGGTCCCTACCCCCTGTCCCCTGCCCTGCCAGGAGTCTCCTGCTAAGTGTGCCCCCCCACCCCCTGCCCATCACCTGAGTGGGGAGCACAGCCTGACGGGGGTGCACCAGCACTCTCAGGGGGTACATGTGCACCCCTGCTCACCCCCTATGCATCACCACTGATGGACATTTTTGTG